TGAGAGACACATAGAGTGGTTGCCTCCTGCACACACCCCAACCAGGGCGGGGGATTGAGCTTGCAACCGAAGTTTGTACCCTTGACCGGAATAGAACTTGGGACCCTTCAGTCTGCAGGCCGACGCACTATCTACTGAGCCAAACTGGCTAGGGCCCTTCTTTAACTCTTCGTTTTTAGTCCTTTCTCATGTCTAGGGCTTTACCGATGTTAGTGATCTTTCCTTGTACGTTTCAAGTTCATTTATCTGAACCCCAGGACCTTTGCACTTGCTGTTCCTCCTGCCGAGAGCTCTCAGTGTCACCCCAGCCTTTGCACGGCTGGCACTCTCACTCAAGCAAGGTCCCAGCTCAGCTCTTCCCTCCTCAGAGAAGTTTTCCCTGAATTCCGTGGCTACGCGGGCAGCCTCATCCCGCTCCATCCTCGACTTGACTTTTCACTCACTGACACTCTTCAGTGTTTACCTGTTTATGGTCTGCCTCCTCCAGTTATAGAGCAAACAGTGCAAGAGTGGGGACCATGTCTGTCTCATTCACTCCTGAACCCCCAGCAACGAGCCCAGAGGACAATGAGCCTGACGTATAGTAGCTGCCTAGTGCATGCTTTGTAAATAAGTGAACAACTGAATGAATGAGTCAGTCAGTCCTGATTCAGGGGCAGTTTGCCCCAGAGCTGGACCATCTTCCGGGAGTGGGGAAGGTCCCTTGCCCGACACCACTCTGACCACTGCACAGCCAGCCCCAAATCAGGGCGCCCCTTCTGCTGGTGTGGGGAAGGGAGCAGGGAGAGGAGGCTGTGTGTGTCCCCAAGCACTGATGTTGCCCTGTGGGCAGCCCTGTGGGCTGGTTTCGACCACCCCATCCCTGCCCTGAGGCCGCCTCCACACCTCCCTCCCTTCTTGAAAAGAAGTTGTTTTTTCCTGAAGGTTTGCTGATCCTTTTGAGGATGAAGGCCATGGGGCTACAGGGTGGGAGGGGAAGATTGTCTGTCCATGACCGGAAGTGATCACCACGTTGGGGAGGGGAACAGTCAGAATGAAGCCAGCTCTGTCCATAACCCCAGATGGGGACACCAAGGGCCAGGGAGGTGAAGGGACTTGCCCAAGGTCACACAGCCAGAGCAGAGCCCAGAATTCCAGTTCCAAGTCCGTGTGTTTGACCTTCCTGTGAACGTGCCTCAGGAGAGAGAAGCCACAGAACCCCAGTGACAGACAGGGAAACTGAGGCCCAGGGCCGTGGCAGCATTGGTCGGGGTCAGTGGCCAGTCTGCCCCCCACTCCCTGCTGCCCAGACTGGCTCCTGTACCCCAGGAACCCCATTTCCCGGGCGGGGGAGTCCGGGACTGCCTTCCCTCTGGCAGGAGCCACATGCTGTCTCGTGATGCCCTGGAGCTTGGCCCGCTCCTCCGGGCAGCTGCTGGGTTCCGCTTCCTCATCCATCCCAGGGGGAAGTATCACTTCCCGTCTGGGCGGCGGGGCCCCGCCAGGTGGATGCAGCTGCCCCCACAGCCCCCGGCCCCACACGGGGGTTTCCTGAGGCAGACCAGGAGCCGGGGCTGGAGACGTTCCAGGGCCTTCGTGGCTTCAGGACTGGCATGGGCTGCCAAGAGGGGTTCCAGCCGGGGAGTGAGTTCTTCAGAATTCAGGCTGTGATCCATTCATGAGTCACAAAATCCATGTTGTGGGTAGAGACCAGACTTTTTTTTTCTTCTTCAATAAAACAGAAGAGATGAGAAGGAAAGAAAAATCAGTGCATTGCAATAGTGTCAACTGTTGCTTCCTGAGACCTGGGTTCTCTACTTTGGGAGGAGGCCCGAGGGCTGAGGGTTGGAAGGCAGCCGAGAGGTCAGAGGGGGCAGCACCCGGAGGGGCCGTCCAGCTTGTGAGTGTCTGTAGAAAGGTCACTTAACAGGTATGTCGAGGTCACCTGACCTCCCGGGCTGGCCTTGTCCCATTCTGTGGCTGAAGGGCCCACAGGGCCTGACTTTAGTCCTCCGCTGCTCCACCAGCTGTGTGACCCTGGGGAAGGCATGTCACCTCTCTGAGCCCCGCGTCTCCTCTGTCAATGGACAAGCAGCAGGAACCTTAGGAGGACTGACCGAGGGCACGCACGGGGCGCCTTGTCCCTGTCCTGGCAGATGCCGAGAATTAAGTCATGCCCACTGTGACGACGAAGACGATGCCAACTGCTGCTATAATTGTCATCATTTAGGCAGCACATTTGGAGCGGCTGGTGTGATCATTTAAAAGCCCGTGAGCTCTGGACTCAGACAGAACTGGGTTTGACCCAAGGCAGTCCCCTCAACACACCTGGGATTCAGTTTCCCTACCTTGGGGTCCAGCCATGGCCAGTGTGCTCAATGGTTAGAGCACCCACCCACGTACCAAAGGTTCGAGGGTTCGCGTCCCGGGTCAAGGGCATGTACCTGCGTTGCAGATTTGATCCCTGCCCAGATCGGGGGTGCCTGTGGGAGGCAACCAATTGGTGTGTCTGTCTTAAATCGATATTTCTCTTTTTCTTTTTCTTTTCTTTTTTAATGTATTTTATTGATTTTTTACAGAGAGGAAGGGGAAGGGATAGAGAGTTAGAAACATCGATGAGAGAGAAACATCGATCAGCTGTCTGCGCCCACTCCCTACTGGGGATGTGCCCGCAACCAAGGTACATGCCCTTGACCGGAATCGAACCTGGGACCCTTCAGTCCGCAGGTGGATGCTCTATCCACGGAGCCAAACTGGTTAGGGCAATGCTTCTCTTTTTTTTTGTCTCTCCCTCTCTCCCCGCTCCCTCTTTTCCTTCCACTCTCTCTACTAATCTATGAGAAAATATCCTCGGGTGAGGATTAACAGCAAAGAAAGGGAGGCTCAGGTGAGATGGTGCCTCATGCCCTCAGCTCTCAGGGCCCAGCCACTGCTGCCACCCCAGATGCCAAACTTCTGAAGCCTGGAGGTTCCCCAGGTTTCTCAATGGGAAGCGAGGCCGGGGGTTTCTATCACTGACCGCGACGCCCAGATGTTTCACTTCCGGACTATTTAGTGAGCTTGACGCGTCCTCTTCCTGAAAGTCAAGGAATTCCAGAATCCGAGACACACGGCCCCGCCTCGGAGAGCTCCAGATTAGGGGCCTGTGGGACCTGTGAGGTGCTTTGGTGTGTGTTTTTCTTTTAAAGAAAACTTTTTATTTGGGAGTAATTTTAGATCTACAGAAAAGTTTAAAGACAGCACACAGGGTGCCCTCTACTCCTAAGCAGCTTCCCTCACATTCAGCTCTTATAGACCTGCAGCGCCATTTTTTCCCTTCTTAGCTTGTTTTAAAATGCGTTCCGACTTATAGGAACGTTGTGCCTGGCTTCTTCTACAACAGTTTTTTCTTTTTAATGTATTGATTTCAGAGAGAAAGGGGCAGGGGGAGAGAGAGAGAAAAAAACATTGATTTGTTGTTCCACTTACTTACCAGTATGTATTCATTGGTTGCTTTTTGTATGTGGCCTGACCGGGGATTGAACCTGCGACCTGGGCCCATCCTGGCGATGCTCTAACCAACGGAGCTAGCTGGCCAGGACTGTAAATGTTAGCATTGGACCGCATTCCCTTTATTCTCCTCCCCCAAATATATAGCATGTATATGCTACATGGAAGTGTATGTACACGTATGATTTATTGGATGCATGATTACAGCTGTCATTTCTTTACTATAGAGTTAATAGGCACATCGTCATTTTTTTCTGAACTGTTTGTAACTTGCAGACCTGGAGCCTTCTTACCCCTGAAGACTCCAGTGGATTTGAATCTCACCACAAAGCAAAGATTCCCCAGGACCATGAACAAAGCTGGCGATGAGTGTGGGGCACTGCTGTCAGCAGGGCACACCTGGCTCACCCCTGCCAGCTTTCCCGCTTCCCCCACTCCCCCCACTAACGTCCTATATGGCAACACAACAGCGTCTCTTTTTCTTAGGCCCCAATTCCCGTGGACTTATAACACCCGGTGCCACCTCCGACCTGCCCTTGTCACCCTCAGATGTCCTGGCGGGGGTGGGGGGCAGGGACAGGATACCCCTGGGGGCTGATGCAAGGCAGCCCCCTCCTTCTCCTGCCTCCGACACTCTCCACCCTCCTCCCTGCTCCCCCCTCTGCTCCCATTTCCTCTTTCTTGGCTCCACCAGGCCACCCCTTCCCTTTTTGCTGCTTTTCCAGTTCCTCCTGCTGCAGTCCCCCCTTTAGTCCCTGGAAAGCCCCCACACCTGTGTCCCCCAGGAGCCAGGCAGGTTGACCAGATACTGGAGGAGCCTTCCGGGCTTGCACCTCCCACCTGGCCGTCACACCCATTTTACAGACAGAAAACAGAGGCACGGAGAGAGAGGGAGGCTCTGGAGCTCAGACAGCAGGGAGCGGAGCCTTGGTCTTGGAGCTTCTGGTCCGGGGCCCTTGAAGATTCCAGAATTGATATCACAAACCCAGGGCTGGCTTTGTGTGTGAACAGCCTGGGCGGCCCCCAGTGCCCTCACTCAGAAGGGTCCTGAGGTTTTCATCTTGCACTTGGCCCTGTCGGCTCTGCAGCTGGCCCCGCAAGGGCCCCTCTCCCCGTTCTGGTTCATAGCAAGGCTAGGACTGTTGATTCTGTCTCCCAAACATCTCACCAGCTCCTGGATCCACCCCATCCCCGTGCCTCTCGGCCCTGGTACCCCACAGCCTGTCCTCCCCCACCGCAGCCATCAGAGGGCGCATATGAGCACCTGAGTCCCGTCTGTCCCTCTGTCCACAGCCCTCCAGGGCTCCCACCTCCCTGGGGTAAAAGCCCAAGTCCTCCCCCAAGGCCCTGCATGACCTGCCCTGTCCCTCCCTCTATCACAGTGGTTCTCAACCTTCCTAACGCCGCGACCCTTGAATACAGCTCCTCATGTTGTGGTGACCCCCAACCATAAAATTACTTTCGTTGCTACTTCATAACTGTAATTTTGCTACTGTTATGAATCCTAATGTAAATATCTGATATGCAGGATGTATTTTCATTGTTACAAATTGAACATAATTAAAGCATAGTGATTAATCACAAAAACAATATGTAATTATATATGTGTTTTCCGATGGTCTTAGGCGACCCCTGTGAAAGGGTCGTTCGACCCCCGAAGGGGTCGCGACCCACCGGTTGAGAACCGCTGCTCTATCACCTCCTCCCTTCCCTCCCCTCCAGCCTCACAGGGCCTCCTGGTTGTCTGTGGTCTACAGGGAGAAAACAGCCACAGACTATTCAAACACAAATGGGTGTGGTCATGTGCCAATAAAACTTTATTGATAGACACTGAAACCTGAATTTCATATAATTTTCACAGGATATGAAACAATTTTCTTTTGATTCCTTTCAAGGTAAAAACCAGAACCATAAAAAGTATCAGAAACAGAAAAAAAACATACAAACTGTAAAAACTCCCCAGCTGTGCACAGTCAGGCTGTGTCTGGATGTGGTCCGAGGGCCACCGTTTGCAGACCCTCCCAGGAGCCCCTCCCACTGAATGCGCAGGCAGGGCCTATGGAGATCCATGGTGCACAGGCAGGGAGACTGAGGCAGAAGCGGTGGACGCTCACCAAGGTCATAGTGTGGCCTGGGCCCAAGGGTTTGAACGCAGGAAGTCCGGGTTGAGATTGAGCGATGGCTCGTGTCCGCAGGCCCAGGTGAGAGCGGGAAGAGCACGTTCATCAAGCAGATGCGCATCATCCACGGGACTGGCTACTCGGAGGAGGACCGCAAGGGCTTCCGGCCGCTTGTCTACCAGAACATCTTCGCGTCCATGCGGGCCATGATCGAGGCCATGGACCAGCTGCAGATCCCCTTCAGCAGGCCTGAGAGCAAGGTGAGCGTCCTGGGGCTGCCGCGTGGGTGCCACAGGGGGGCGGGTCCCCACCAGCCCCCCCTCACATGTCCTCCATGCATCCCCAGAGCTCATCTCTTGGACCCCTTGGGCGTGGGAATCCTGAACCCATGGCCGTTCCCCTGTGGAAATATTAATACAATGGACTGATGACTGCAGGGAAAGGCTGCTGTGCAATTCATGCATCACATCCCTTTTTAAGAACACACATTACTTTATTGTGGTAAGAACACTCAACATGAGATCTGCCCTCTCAAATTTTAAGTGCAGGTACGGTACTAGCTGGAGGAAGGATGGGCTCAGAGCTCTAGAACGATCCGTCCTACTGAGGGAAACTCGACCTGGCCATCCTACCTGACTAGCGACTCCACGTGGCCCCTCCCCAAGCCCGTCTCCCTGTTCCCTTGAGTCTGCCTATTCCGGATGCCTCCCGTAATGGGGTCGTGTAGTATTTTTCTTTCATGGCTGGCTTATCTCACTTAACACGAGGTCCTCAAAGTTTACCCACGTGGACATGTATTGTAGAATTTCCTTATTTTTATTTTATTTTAAAAATATTTTTATTGATTTCAGATAGGGAGAGGGAGAGAGAGAAACATCAATAATGAGAGAGAATCATTGATGGGCTGCCTCCTGCGTGCTCCCTACTGGGAATCAAACCATGACCTCCTGGTTCATAGGTCGATGCTCAACCATTGAGCTACACCAGCTGGGCTTTTATTTTATTTTTCAGTTTTACAGTTATTTTGTATTCGTTTTAGATATACAGAATATGGTTAGATGACCATATACTTGACAAGAATTTCCTTTTTCTTTTTAAAAAAAATATAGTTTTATTGATTTCAGAGAGGAAGGGGAAGGGATAGAGAGATAGAAACATCAATGATGAGAATCATTGATCGGCTGCCTCCTGCATGCCCCCTACTGGGGATCGAGCCCGAAACCCGGGCATGTGCCCTTGACCGGAATGGAACCTGGGACCCTCTATCCACTGAGCTAAACCAGCTAGGGCAAGAATTTCCTTCTTTTTAAAGACTGAATACTATTCCACTTATGGACCACATTTTCTTTTTTTCTCTCTTTTTTTAAAAATTTTGTTTTATTGCTTAAAGTATTACAAAGAGTATTACATATGTTTCCTTTTCTCCCCGGCCTCCCCTACCCCCCAGTGTCTTGTGTCCATTGGTTATGCTTATATGCATGCATACAAGTCCTTCGGTTGATCTCTTACCCCCCGCCCCCCCAAGGACCACATTTTCTTATTCATTCATCTGGGTTTTTTCTACATTTTGGCTATTGAGAATAGTGCTGCCATGAACATGGGAGTGCTCATATCTTTTCAAGATATGCTTCCCAGTTTTTTGGATGAACACCTAGAAGTAGAATTGCTGGATCATATGGTGATTCTATTTTTAAATTTTTGAGGAACCTCCATACTGTTTTCCATAGTGGCCACATCATTTTGCATTCCCACCACCGTGCACGGGGTCCCCATTTCCCCACATCCTCACCCACACGTGCCGTTTTCGGTGTGTTTGTTTTTCATAATGGCCACGCGAACAGGGGTGAGGTCACATTCCCTTTCTAAAACCTGGAAGCATCTGGTTTGTGAATATGAGGTGGTCCAAGGACGTTGGAAGAGGGACTGGAGGCTGTGGTTCCTACCTCTCAGGGCTGATGTGAGGATGTGATCAATTAAAGGTGCTGAAAGCTCTCAAAACAGTGCCTGGAATGCAGTCTGGGCTCAGTCGTGTGAGTGGTGATATGATCATTTAATCCTCACAACAACCCCTTTCAGCGATCACCCCATTTTAGAGATGGGACAGGGGCTCTCCCTGAGGATAACCATGTCTCATCTTTCATCGCCATGTATGAGCTGCCTATTTTTTAAATTCTCAGATTTTCTGGAATGATCTTTTACGTCTGGCTTCTGGTGCCAACCCCTTTCAGCGATCACCCCATTTTAGAGATGGGACGGGGCTCCCCCTGAGGATAACCACGTCTCATCTTTCATCGCCATGTACGAGTTGCCTATTTTTTAAATTCTCGGATTTTCTGGAATGATCGTTTACGTCTGGCTTCTGGTGCTGTAGGTCTGTGATTCATTTATCTTTTGGGGGCCACGGTCAATTTATTTGTCCATTCTAATGTTGGTGACCTTTGGGTCATTTGCATATTTCTGTTGGGTGTCTACCTAGAAGGAACACGTAGAAGACACTGTTTTCCAAGTAATTGTAGCAAATCACACGCCCCCCCAGCAGAGCTCCGGTTGCTCCCTGTCCTAGCAACAAGCCAGTGGTTCTCAACCTTCCTAATGCCGCGACCCTTTAATACAGTTCCTCATATTGTGGTGACCCCCAATTTCATTGTTACAAATTGAACATAAAGCATAGCGATTAATCACAAAAACAATATGTAATTATATATGTGTTTTCCATGGTCTTAGGCGACCCCTGTGAAAGGGTCATTCGACCCCCAAAGGGGTCGTGACCCACAGGTTGAGAACCGCTGATTTAAGCCAATCTCGTGGGTGCTTGGTGGCATTTCATTGTGGTTCTTGTTTTTGTTTTAAATATATTTTTATTGATCTCAGAGAGGAAGGGAGAGAGAGGTAGAAACATCAATGATGAGAGAGAATCATAGATCGGCTGCCTCTTCCACGCCGCACGCTGGAAATCGGAGCCTGCAACCCAAGCTTGTGCCCTGACCAGGAATCGAACCATAACCTCCTGGTTCATAGGTTGATGCTTAACCACTGAGCCACGCCAGCTGGGCTCACTGTGGTTTTGATTTCCATTGCTCTGATGAATAATGAGCTCGTGCACCTTTTCATATGTTTGTTGGACATTTGGATGCTCTTTTTTTGTGAAGCAGCTGTTCAAATCTTTTGCCTATCTTTTCCCCCACTTAAAAAAGTACAATTCCTCAGTTTTTTTCTTTACTGATTTCTAGCAAATTCTATAATTTGTATATTCTGGATATGAGCGCTTTCTTACTTTCACATCTATTGTTAGATTATCCCTAGGTATTTGCTAGCTCTTGATGCTACTATAAATGTGATTTAAATTCTTAAAATTTTCCACTAGTTAGTGGTTAGTATATAGACACATATCTTATTTTCATTTATTGATCTTTCATTTGGGGACCCTGTTAAGTTCACTTGTTTATTCTAATAGTTTATCTACAGACTATTTTGGATTTTCTACACAAAGCCGTGTCATCTGTGCATAACCACATGTAATTTCTCCCATTGCAAACCCGACCTTTTATTTCTTTTTCATGTGTTAATTAGAAATGGCATGAGTGGGCCTCATTGTCTCGTTCCCAGTCTCCTGTGTTTTAAAAGCGAAGGACCCATATTCACTTCCTTCCAAGCACATTAAGGACTATTCAGGGCCTTCACTGAATATAAATTTTACTCTGAATTTTTAGAAGGATGTGTCTCTTAATTTTTACTTTTAAAATTCTTAATCATCTTTTTAAAACTTTGAAGTTAATGCGTTTTCAGGCTGTGTATTAGTTTGCTCAGGCTGCCATCACCAAGCGCCACAGTCTGGGGAGCTTATACGTCAGAAATGTACTCTTTCACAATCTGGAGGCTGGACGCCTGAGGTGAAGGTGTTGGCGGGGCTTGTTTCTCCTAAGGCTTCTCTCCTTGGCTGGCAGGTGGCTTCTTCTCTCCGTGTCCTCACATGGTTGTCCTTATTCTCTTCCTATAAGGACACCGGTCATAGATCAGGACCCACCCTAATGACCTCATTGGAACTGGATCACCTCTGTAAAGACCCCCATCTGCAAAGACAGTCACAGCCTGCGGTCCTCCGGGTTAGGACTTACACTTAGGAATTTGTGGAGGACATGGGTGGTGGACAAAACCCGGCCATAACAGGCCGCGGGCCGTCTCATTGATCCTATACAGGGTTATTCTCACACCCCCAGGCCTTCCCCGGTCCCCACCCCTGCGGCTGTCATGTGCCCTCCCTCAGGGTGAGACCTGGGCAAGGTGCTTCTCGTGCCTCAGTAGCCTAATCCGTAAACTGGGGGCATCTGTAGGGACTTGTCTCCTGGGAGTCAGGGAACCAGTGCCTGTGAGGAAGGGGGAGCCCCGCAGGTAGGAGGCCTCAGTGCACACGGGCCATGGTCCTCTGGAGCTCGTTTCTCTGCTGCCCCTGGTACTGGGGCAGCACTTTGCCGCCACGCTCCCTCCGTGGGCAAATGCATGAAGGAGCGCCTCAGAGGAGACAACGGCGGTGGGAGGGGCAGGGTGTCCATGGGTAGGAAGGAGAAGCAGCCGAGAAAGGAGGGGAGGGCCTGGCTGGGATGTCAGGAGGCTGCGCTGACCTGCCTCGTCCTTCCCTCCAGAACTATGCCAGCCTGGTCATGAGCCAGGACCCCTACAAAGTGACCACCTTTGAGAAGCGCTACGCGGTGGCCATGCAGTGGCTGTGGAGTGACGGCGGCATCCGGGCCTGCTACGAGCGCCGGCGCGAGTTCCACCTGCTGGACTCGGCAGTGTAGTGAGTCTGGGGTCACGGCGGCGGGTGCGGGGCGCAGGGTGCGGGGCAGGGGGCGCGTTGGGTACAGCTGCAGGTTGGAGAGGCAGCCAGCAGAGACCCAGTGCCAGGATTGCACCTGCACAGAGGGGGTCCCAGGGGGCCGACTCCCACCCCGGGGACTGGCTGTTGGGCATCAGCTGGCTCTGCGATGGTTGACGTTGTTCCTGGGGTGAGGTTGTTTTGGGATGACATTGTCTCTGGGGTGACATTGTCCCTGGAGTGACCCTGTTTTGGGGGTGATGTCATTGGTGGGGTGACACAGCTGCTAGGGTGACTCTGCCCCAGGGGACACCACTTCTGGGGTGACACTGCTCATCATCACATGGTGATACTGTCCCAGGCATGATGGTGGGTGCCCGGGGTGGTGTCACTCCTGGTGACAGCCCCCAAGGTGACACCCCTCTGCAGCGCTGCTGTTCTCGGGGTCACACCATCCTTGGGGTCACGCTGCTTTAGGGGTGAAGCTGCTTCTCCCAGGGGTCCCATGGCCTCAGGGTGGTGCTCCTGGGGCTCCCGCAGACGCCAGAGATCCTGGCCCCTCGTGGGGGGCTCTCTCCTAGCAGGGTCCTCACGGGGCCCTGGGGGTGGGTCTGAGAAGCCAAGGAAGTCTGCGGGGCCAGGCTCAGGGCTCCCTGCTCCGCAGCTACCTGTCGCACCTGGAGCGCATCACCGAGGAGGGCTACATCCCCACCGCCCAGGATGTGCTTCGCAGCCGTATGCCCACCACGGGCATCAACGAGTACTGCTTCTCCGTGCAGAAAACCAACCTGCGGTGAGTGCAGGGCCTCCTGGGCGGGGAGTGCTTCCTGGAGGAGGGGCAAAGCAGCTGGGGCCCTGAGGAAGGAGTAGGCGTTTCCTAGACCTGGCCCTCAAGGGGCTCCTAGGTTGAAGGAGGTAGAATTGGACATAAACACCCCATAGCCCCCCCTCCCCCCATACAGTCAGAACCGGGACCTGGAAGAGCCCAGAGTGAGGCACCAGAGCTCCAAGGGGGAAATCTTCCTGGAGGAGGGGACACTGGTATTAGGGCATTGAAGGATGAGTAGGAGTTCTCTAGTTCCGACACTTGAAGGGCTGTTGTGCAGGAGAAGACAGAGACTGTGTGGTCAGAGCTGTGCCAGAGGGATGGATTTGGACTGGGAAGCTCAGAGGCTGGTTCCTCTAGTGATCAACAGGGGGGTGAGACTAGAAGTCCAGAGAGTCAGGAGGAGGCAGGAACCATGGTCCAGGCAGGAAGGGTTAGTCATGGCCAGGGCAGTGGCCATGGGGATGGAAATGAGGGGATGGTGCAAGAAATGTTTCTGATGTGGAAGGGGCAGGACTAGATGAGTGTGGGACTGAGAGCAGGGAGCTGAAAATGTCTCCCAGTTTTCCCATCAGGGTGACAGGGTAGGAGGTGGAGCCACCATGGCGGCGGCAGCAGGATGGGGGGTATTAGATAAGATGATAAAGTCCTTGGGGCACATGGAGTCTGAGGGGTCTAGGGCACCTGGGAGGTGAATGGGCACACACAGGCCTGAGCTGGAAGACAGAGGTGTGGATGGGCATGCAGCAACACGGCATCAGGAGGGTGATGCCTAGTGTCAAAGGCCAAGGAGAGGTCAGGAAGAATACAGCAGGAGAAGCGACTTCTGAGATCGGCAGTTAGAGCGTCATCAGTGTCCTTAGCAAGCTCCGTGTCTGTGGGCTGATGACGGAGCTGTGGAGAGTGCAGGGTGATGCCTGGAGACAGGGGTGATCAACCCACATGTGTTGACTCTCTCACTCCCCTGGACCACCCTCCCCCACCTCAAATATGCTGTTCTGTCCTCTGCAATAGTCCTTTCCTGGAAGGTTCATAATTTAGCTGTTTGCCATAGGTCTCATCCACTAGATGGAGAGTCCCACACGGTTAGGGGCTAAGTTTCAGTCTCCTGCTTCATAGTGATGATCAGATCCAGATCAGAGTGGCAGTTGGTAAATGTGGGAGGATGGCTAGAAAGATGGAAGGATGAATATGCGGATGGATGGATGGATGGATGGATGGATGGATGTGTGGATGGATGGAAGGATGAATGGATGTGTGGATGGAAGGATGAATGTGCGGATGAATGGATGGATGTATGGATGGATGGATGGATGGATGGATGGATGGATGGAGGACGGGTGAGTAGATGGGTAGATAAATGAATAGATCAGTGAATGGATGGATATGTAGTAGAGGCTGGATAGGTGGGTGGATAGATGTATAGATGGGTGGACGGGTGGGTAAAGTTTAGGAGTGAAGGTAGCGGTTGGGGATGCTTACTGGGCTGGGGAGGGGATTTCTTGGTGGGAGACTTGAGTATGTTCTTTGGCTAAGGAGAGAGGCTAATCGGTGGAGTGAGGGTGCAGAGGATCTAAGACTCTGAGATGGGAGGCTGGCAGGAAGTGTACCCCACTTGTCTCAGTCCCCAGAGCCCCAGTCTCAATCGCTGCACCCACATCCCACTCGGGACAGGGGGGCTTGAGGGTCTGATGCATGAGAGGGTCGGTCTCTGGGATTAGGAGCCACAGGCACCGGCCTCTTTCCCCTCCTGTGCAGCGGGGCAAGTCCCTTCTCGCTCTGAGGCTTCTGGCATTTCCTGTCGGCTGCCTGAGTAACGGCTGTATCCCCGGGGAAATGACGCAGGGCTTGTTATCAGTGACCCACATTTCTTAGAAGAGAGCACAGGAAGGCAGGAGGGCTCGGGCCGCTGTTGTGGAGTGTGGGGGTGGAGGCCCGGCCCTCGCCTGAGGCCACACACAGAGGGGGTGGCGTTGGCCGCTGGACGGTCCCCTGGCCAGCCACAACGCAGCGTCCCCATTTCACTGAGTTGTGCCGACGGCCTGCAGTTTCTCCTAGGACCTAGGCCAATCAGCCGGAACCAGGGCAGACTCCAGATGTGTCTGACCTGCTGGCCTCCACCTTGAGGGTAGTAATCAGACAACCCAGTGCAGTAGAAGTTCAGGAAAGTCCCCTCTCCTCTCTGTACCTCAGTTTCCTCATCTGTATAATGGGTGTCATGGGGCGGGTTTTGAAATGCAATAACACATAAGAGGTGTGGGCCCACCTCAGTTTCCTCATCTGTATAATGGGTGTCATGGGGGGGGTTTGGAATGCAATAACACATAAGAGGCGTGGGCCCAGGGCCTAGCCCCTATTCTTGCTGCTCGTCATCTTGATCTTGGCACATCTCAGATGTGATTGGGACCTGGGGTGCATATTGGGGGGTCCTGATTAAGCCCGAGCTCTGAAAAGGGGCAATTCTGGCAGGATTGTTGACGTTGGGGGCCAGAGGTCAGAACGCAAGAAGTGGATCCACTGCTTTGAGAACGTGATCGCCCTCATCTACCTGGCCTCGCTGAGCGAATACGACCAGTGCCTGGAGGAGAACAACCAAGAGGTGAGGGGCCACTGAGGACGGATGGGCGCCATCTTCTCTGCTCTTCTCCTCCCCCTGGCCCAGGGACCCCCAGGAAGCCCCAGTGCCACTCTCAAGCAGGCCTGTGTGTGTCCGGTGTGGCTCTGAGCCTCACCTTCCACTCTTTCGTGATCAGACCATTGAGCCCCAAGACTCCGATTCACAAGTATTTGTGTTGCCAACAACACTCACATGCGGTGCGTCTTCTCTGCTCTTCTCCTCCCCCTGGCCCAGGGACCCACAGCTGGGCAGAAAGCCCAGTGTGTGTCCGGTGTGGCTTTGAGCCTCACCTTCCACTCTTTCGTGATCAGACCACTGAGCCCCAAGACTCAGATTCACAAGCATTTGTGTTGCCAACAACACACATGTGGCGCGCACGCACGCGTGCGCACGCACACACACACACACACACACACGGATATTCATGTCCTGCATGTCCTGAGACATGCGCCCCCGCCCACCCCAAAGCACACACAAACTATCCTGGAAATAGTGTCACACTGCAGGGACAATGTCATGCGCACGCGTGCACACACACACACACACACACACTCACACACACACGGATATTCATGTCCTGCGTGTCCTGAGACATCCCCCCCCCCCCCCGAAGCACACACAAACTGTCCTGGAAATAGTGCTCTATCCACTGCAGGGACAATGTCACGCTTCTATCCAGAAATGCTGGTGAGGATCAATCTTCCTTTGTGACCTCTCCTCCTATTTAACACCCAGCACGATGGCGGGCACACTGTTATCTGACATGTGCACTTTCGGTGGCTCAGTGTCACAGAGGCCGTTTGGGCATTCGAGAGGGAGACACTATCATTGTGACTTTCAGATTGAATCAGACAGAACCAGCCCGAGGTCGCTCTGACATAGCTCTCGCCACCTGACCTGTCCTAGTTTGCTGGGGCGGCCATAACCAATGACCACAAACCGGGAGGCTGAGACAACAGAAAAGTATTCTCTCCGGGTTCTGGAGGCAGAGGCTGAGGTCAAGGTGTCGGCGGGG